AGTACATGGGTGATTGTTTCTCAGCCCTTCAGCTAAGATCAAGGGCAAAAACCCACAGATGAACAGGCAGGAATAGGGCGGGACAGCCACTGTTGATGGACACCACACACCTTTCCTGTACCCAAATGAGGCTAAGAAGGCAGCGGGAGGAGACAGAAGCAGCATTGGTGGCTAGAAGCAGCGGCAGGGGCTGGGGGCCAAGCATTTTTATGGCGTTTAGAGTTTACAGAGAACCCGATTTATCTTCCTCTCCAATGCAGCCATGTGGCTTGGAGCAGCCAACAGCTCCTATGTCCTGCCGGTCGGCGGCAGCTACTCCAGTGCCTGGAGGGAGCACAGCAGGTCTCCAGACCTTGCTCAGTGAATCAATGACTTAAACCCCCCTCGATTTGTTCTCACCTTAATTTTCCACAATTCCTCTTCCTGTTTGCACCATCTAACTTTTATGATCCTTCCAAATTCTACAGCCTGTTCTCTTGCTGCTAGCATCCACTTGTAAGAATTAACTCAGTAAAAACGTGTTTGCGGGAGAAAGGCTGGGCGCTAATCATTGTCATTTTTTTGTGTGTGGCGTCCCCTGGAGCTTATGATGAAAAAGAAATTTCCTTTTCCCTTCATGCTTCGTGGAGCGCCCTTCAGGTGTTTTTCTGGGAGGAGGAGAATCAACCAACCTGCAGGATGCTTGTCCTTAAACCAATGCGACTGTCACCATTGCCATTCTCACCCTTAAAAGTGTTTATGCACCCATGGGGTGCGGCTGCAGAGCCACGTCCTCCGTGTACTGAACAGATAACATGCTATGCTCGAGAAGCTTGTAATCCACAACAAAAAGGCCTGACATTAAGCGGTGACACGCTGACAAATGAACCTTAAACACGCATGTTAATTAACTGTGCAAACAAATTTCACGAAGACTGTTTACTGACTTAGGAGAAGGAACCATTTTCAAACCGATTAGGGGTGTCATTTACATATAAGCCAAATCAGTGAAACATAAATGGGGACTAATCGTCTTTATCTGTCCATTAAGAATCTCTCTGGAAGGCCACTCAGCAGTGTGATTTCTTTATACAACTCAAAAGTTAGAATCATTTTAAGTTTCTAATTTTGAGTTTTCCTGAAACCAGACTGTCCTTCAACTTTGGTCCCAATTGGTCAGATTTCTATGTTTAGAATAACACAGTAGATGGTAAGTGCTATAATGACAAGCATTATACCTTGTCCCTTGCTCTGAGCACAGCACAGTACCTGGCACCTATTAGGGGCTCAATATTTGCTGTATATAAGAAATGGCTCTAGGTGCTGAGAACCCTGAGATGCTTTTGTGTGTATATACATGCGTGTGCTTTGGCTCCAAGTATACAGAAGTTATCTCAAATTCTTCCTAAAATCACCTCTAGAACAGCTTTGGCTTCCCAGAAGGGATTCACGGCCAGCAATCACTTGTGGGGAGGGGAGGTTTGCCACTGGAAATGGCAGAGAGTGGGAATGAGGGGAGGGTGGTGTGGAGACCTCCAACTTTCCATCTATTCTTGGCTGTTATTAAGCTTCTCCTAACTCTGACTCTGAAAAGAGAAGGGTATCCTGCTCCACTGGACAACAGCAACTGGTTCCCAGTGCTTTCCTACCACCGTGGTCCCATGACGTTCTTGTCTCCACTCTGAATTTTACAGAGTCATGTGTATCTAGGGGCCGTCTGGTGATAACCCTGGAAATAAAATGGCTTAAAGATCTTGACTTCTCATCCTGATTCTGGAGCCACTGGAAAAATCTCTTACCTGCCCCGGGCCTCAGTTTTCTTATTTACTAAATAAAAGGGTTTCTCTAAGTAAACCCATAAGATCCCTTCCATGCCTAGGAAAACCTCCCAGGTTTCCAGAGGGAGCTCTTGAGTGGCAGAGGCCCAAGAGGGGGTGGCTGGGCTGGCTGACAAGCTCTTACCTCCAGGCTACCCCAAATGTTGGAGCTTCCTGGCTTGCCCAGCCCCAAGTTCAGGTTTAAATAATCAAGTTGCTCTTGGCAATTCAATCAAGCTTGTCTCCTTCACACATGCCAATTTATATATAGCACTAATTATTTATGTTCTATATTAAGCTCCACTGTATTTCTTTGAGATATTAAAATATAAATTATGCAATAGAGGCAAATTGATGGGAATTTTCCATATGGGTAAAAAGAACGGCAGTTCCTAATTATAATGAGGTATCAGTGGGAAAAAGCAGGAGTCTGGGAAGATGGGCCCCAGCTAAGGTCAGGCAGTTTGGCACCTCTGTGATATGGCAGAGGATGAAGCTGTTGGCATGTGAGAATAGGAATCCAGTACACATTTTAATATAACAAGCATATGATTACTGATATCTTCCAGAGGACATACTCCCTCTGTCCCTTCCCCTTAACCACTGTCACCCTGAGGCCAGCAGGATAGAAAAATAAACTCAGCTGCTATGTGGCCCCTGGTCAGATAGAAGATGCCCCCTCCCATCACCTGCTGGGACCCCAGACTGATGCCCCCGCTCCACCACTGATATATTTCCATGAATAAACTCAGGGGTTTGGTTGCATTTTAGATAGAAAATGAATGAAAGGGACAATTTGGCCAGGCATGGTGGCTCACACCTGTAATCCTAGCACTCTGGGAGGCGGAAGCAGGTAGATTGCTTGATCTCAGGAGTTCAAGACCAGCCTGAGCAAGAACAAGACCCCGTCTCTAGAAAAATAGAAAATAACTGGTCAGGAACTGTGGTGGGTGCCTGTGGTCCCAGCTATGTGGGAGGCTGAGGCAGGAGGATCAGTTGAACCCAGGGGTTTGAGGTTGCTGTGAGTTATGATGCCACAGCACTGTTTCAGAAAAAATAAATAAAAAATGTATGAATTGCAAGTTTCACTAACAAGTATAAGTCTTCCTCTTCTTCCGTTTTCGTGTAAGTATTCGGTCATCGGGCTGGCTGGGAGCCTCTTTCTGCTCTTTTGGTCCCTGCCTGGGTGCCCTGATACTCTTTGTCTCATTCAGAATTTCTAAGAGAGGGTTAGGGAGAGAGAAGGAGGGGACAGAGGCCTTGGGCTTGGGGCCCAGGCCCAACTGAAGATGCACCCACATCGATCCTTTTAGGAGCCACAGACAACGCCAGCATTAGACAGGCAGAAAGACAGTGTCTGACGAGGTTCATTCTGAGTCTCCTAGACAGGTGCCCCAGGGTACAGCTCTGGCCTATTAGGAGCTGGGTGCAGAACTCTGCCCCCCCCCCTGCTCCACATCCCTATCCCGCCGCCATCTATGGAAAATTGTCTTCCATGAGGCTTGAGAATAGGGCTGCACAGTAGGAGGTGAGTTGCCATCACTCACATCGTCCCCTGAACTCATGGACCCACACGCCCCCCTGCACAACAGAAAAACTGTCTTCCATGGAATGGGTCGCTGATGCCAAAAAGGTTGGGGACCACTGGCTTAGAGCACAAGAGAGGAAGGAGACTGTACCGATAGCTTGATTTCACTTTGTTCAGGGAAGCTTAGCTCTGGCGTTGAAGTCCCAAATGTCTCTTTGTAAAACCAGAGCCCATGAAAACTTACAAATTCTAAAATTTCAGAAGGAAAAAAAGAGCCCTACAGTGAATTGGTCTCACCCTGCTCAGAAGGCAGCACATCAACCACCTGTTACCACTCCCTTGTCACCCCGTGGGGTGTCAGCAGCCTGCCTCGGCGGCTTCTACCCACTTGAGTCCTCTCCTGGAATCCTAGTCCCTTCTGTCGTCTCCATCTGTTTCCATGTCTGGTGACACTGGAGTGGCCCCCACAGACAGACCCCAGGTCGGGGCCCTGCTGCCTTGGGTCTGACTTTACCTCTGGGCCTGGGAAACCCATCAGCTGAAACTATCTGCCCTGCCCAACACTGTAGAAAATTCCAGGACCAAACGCCTTCCATCAGAGTAAGCACTGCCCTACTGAATGTCATTTTAAAACTTAAGCTCTTCTTGAGGAAAAGTACCATAGGAAATTACTGTCTTCCCAATAGTGTGGTGAGATGGGCTGGAAGAGCCGGAAGGAGACAGGAGAACCCAGGAAAGAAGAGAACAAAGGGAGAGGGGCCGAGGGTGCGAGAGCAAACTCCAGAGGGACTTCATGGCTTTCTGAAGACCATAAGGACAGCATGACCATGTTAGGGAGCCAGGGGATGGGCAGTCAGTGCCTTGAATGAGTAAAACCTTGATCCACAAGGCTCAGGAGTTGCTCCCTTCAGCAAGACTAGCAACTGCCCAGTAGAAAGCCCCAGGCCAGAGTTGCCAAAGTCAGCAAACCGGGGGCCATCTGCACCCTCCAAGTTGTGATGAAAATAAAAAATAAAACGCCCCCTCTTTCTTCAGCTACATGTTTACATAGACCTCAGCTTATTTACCAGTTGAAGAGTAAAGCATAAATTACTGCACCCAAATGTTTATATTGGAACAGGGAAAGGCTTCAGAGATGACATTTAAAAATAAAGTTATCTCACACATAGCTGAGCCAGCGTGGGCCTGCATCTCTTTCTAAGGACTTGTAACAATTCAAAATTGCATTCCTCGGCTAGAAAGGCATGACTGAAAAGGCACCCCAGAATCCCCACGGTGGTCTGGTTCAAAAACAAAAGTCACGATTTCTCTGCAGGGGAGGCAGAAATGCTCGTGTCACCCGGAAATCATGACACGTCTTCACATCTCACTTCTGTTCTGTGGGTGTGTCTCCTGCCTCTGTCTTTTGAGTCTTCTCTAAATGGGTACAGTTCTGTCAAACACTGTGAAGGTAATGACCCCCACCCCGCCCCCAAATCACATCTCCAACACTCTGAATGTCTTCACTGACTACTTAGTATATGTAACCAAACAAAATTTGACAGTACTTTCGAACAAATTTCTTTGTGTCTCCTTTTCTCCCTGGCACCTTCTTTTAACAAATTGGGGGCCCTCGTTTTCCTCTTTCCCAAACCTGATCCAGAACCCCACACTGTGAGACGGCGGATGCTGCCTACCTTGCCCAGGCCTGGGGTGTCCTTGACCTTGTTGACGGCTCTCAGCAGACAGGGAGGGGCTGGGGGAGGGGACGTCTGCAGAATCCCGCTGAAGCTGGTGGCAAAGAGCGGGGGCTCAGCAATGGAAGAAGTGGAAGGTCGGTGTTTCTTCTTTTTAGAAGACAGATTCAACTTCTGGGCAGCTCTGGAAGGGATAAAGAAAAGGGGCAATGAGTGAAAAAACTGTACCATCAGATACACTGGGGTTACTTTCTTTTCTTTCTCTGAAGAACCCCCTAGTTCTCACTGCAGCCTGATCGTTCTGTCTCTCCTTGCCTCTGTGTCCTCTGCAGCAGCCCCTTACCACAACGCGGTGAACTTAATGAGCCCCCTAATCATTTCTATAGCAGAAAAAGCCATAAAAATGGCACGGCTCTGCAATCGTGATTTATAAAGAATTGTTTGCTATCCACCAGCATGTCAGCTTAAGCATGAATAAGCCTGGTCATCTTTGGGGATTAAACGGCACCAATGAAGTTAATCATCCCTTCGCTTCTCTGATATAAATACAAGTGTGAGAGACCTTATGAGCTAATTTAAAAACTCCACCACCTTATAAAATCCCAACCCGTCTGATGAAGAACAGCGAGGTGACCAGTCAAGGCATGCTATGTACGCGGCTAAAGATGAAAAATACAAGCCCGGGCAGAGCCTGTGGCTCCAAGGAGTAGGGTGCCAGCTCCATATGCCAGAGGTGGTGGGTTCAAATCCAGTCCTGGCCAAAACTGCAAAAAAGAAAGAAAAATACAAGCCGCAATACAACAGGGAAAATAAAAAAAACTGGTTTTAGAAACCTAACACTGAATTAGAATATAAACTCCAGCCAGGGTGCAGGATGTGAGACTAGGTAACAGACTCGTAATTCACAGGTAAGCACAAGGGGAGGGGGTCATGGAAACTAATGGCTGCGCATAGGACAGGTGGGTGCAGAGGTACCCAGCATCACAGGCTGTTCAGATGACATCTTCCAGCATTCAAGTGCCCTACAACACCTAAAGCGTGATAATCTTAACTATAGAAAAGAAGGCAAGGGGTGGTATGAGGCACAGGCACTTTATAGATCATAATATATCCATTTCTGGATTAATTCTTGGTATTTTTACACCATGCCATCGCGCTAGGAATTCCGGTTTCCTCATCAAATGTTATTAAATGTTTGAGCTGCTGCTTAAAACCAAAGGACGCCCATCATTTGATCCTACAAATCAAACTCTTCCAATCCATCCGACATGCTTGCCAATTACATAACAGGTCACTAGGGAAGCTGGCTGGAGAGATGAAATCAGCATCCTTCGAACCTCCTCCCCACCCCCACTCCTGTCTCTCTCTAAACAATCTGGAATAGTTGATCATGTATCAGTAAGTTTCACGCTTTTGACAAATCCCCTGAGCTCCAAAATTGCCACTGCACAAATAGGGCAAATGGAGTCACCATCTCAAAGCTTAATTTTTCTCAGCCGCAAAATTGAAAATCTATTTCACAAGAGGAAAACACAGAGGAATGGGATTCATGAGGACTAACAGGTTTTGATGGGAAGTGACTCCAAGTCCATTAAGCACCCTGGGCCCAACTTAGGGAAGTCTGCGGTCAGCCTGTGACACGATGATGAGAAATGAAGGGTGCTGGAAGGAGATTTCTACAATGCTTTCCTGCTTTCCATTTCCAATCAGGGAAAGAAAGAGCTGAGAATATATATTTTTTTCATGATTTCGTTGCCACTTTCCCTAAAACCTTCCTTCTAAAATTAAGGGTGAAATGGAATCGTTCCAGGACTAGTCTGGTGCTCCTCTTGGCAGTTTTCATTCCTCTTTGAGATTCTCTCCCTAAATGAACAGCAACTCATCCCTGGTGTGTGTCAGTCAGCGACAAAAGGTGTCACATTTCCTTCCTCTGACATCTGCACACTCCACATCCTGCTCAGCAATCCCTTACCGCTTTCAAGCCTCACTGCCTACCTCTCAGAGAGCTGGAAGGGAGATGATGATGATCTGCTAGCAACTGAGGGGTGGCGTTTATCCATTCACATTTGGGATTCTTCTGTACAAAGGAAAAACAGAGCAGGCAGCAGCTGGGGCTCCCAGGTCAAGTGAGAGAGGAAAGGGGGAAGGCGGGGATCCTAGAGGCAGCTCAGAAGGGCTAGTGGGCCTGATGCTTTTTCCTTTTTTTTGTCTCTGCTCCCCATGCTCAGATGCCCAGCCCACACATTCCCCATGGAGGAGGAAAGCAAGGGTCTCTGAAATTAAAGCATACCCTAGGATATCACTTCAAGGTTCCCCTCCTCTCTCTCCTACAACAAGTTTTACTCTCTATTACCGTGTTTCCCTGAAAGTAAGACACTGTCTTATATTTTTTCTCAAGAAGACACACTAGGGTTTATTTTCAGGGGATGTCTTCCTCTTTGCACCTAAATGCATGGTGTATCTATGCAGATACGCTACATAGCCAAGCCCATCAATCTGCATAGCCACGCCCATCACTAGGTCTTATTATGGGGTAGGGCTTATATTTAACAAACGAATAGACATCCTGCTAGGGCTTATTTTCGGGGAAACACGGTAGATCATTTCCAAGAGTCAGTAGATAATATTGTTTCTCTCATCTTAAAAAATAAAACAAATCCTTCTCTGGATGCTTCTGCAACAGCCAGCTACTGTTCTATTTCCTCTCTCATGTGGCCAGCACTACACACGGAAGGCGTTGTCTGCACTCCCTCTCTCCAGCCCTCTCCTTCCATTCCCTGTAAGTCCATTTCTATCGGGCATCTGCCCCAGTCTTCCTTTGAAATTGCTCCGATCTGGGTCACTGATGACCACACGGTGGCTAAATGTAACAGTTCTCAGCCCCACCCTGACCTATCAGAGCACCAGGAACATCATTCCTTCCTTGTGTACTTTCTTCTCTAGACTCCAAGGACGTTCTGGTCATTCTTTCCAGTTTCCTCTGCTGGTTCCTTCTCTGCTGGCCAACCTCTTACTGGCAAGGGTGTGGGGGGGCCTCAGGGTTCACTCCTTGTTCTCTTCACCTCTACACTCAATCCTTTGGTGTTTTCTTCCAGAATTGCAATTTAATTAGCATCCTTACTAAATAAGATCCTTATGCCTATGATTCCTCAGTTTTTTTTTAAAGAGATGAATCTTGCTCTGTCACCTAGGCTAGAGTATAGTAGCCCAATCATAGCTCACTATAACTTCAAACCCCTGGGCTCAAGTGATTATCCTGCCTCTGAGTAGCTGAGACTACAGATGCACCCCACCACATCTGGCTAAATTTAAAAAAAATCTTTTTTTTTTATAGATACTGTCTCGCTATGTTGCCGAGGCTGATCTTGGCCTCCTGGCCTCAAGCGATCCTCCAACCTTGATCTCCCAAGGCACTGGGATTACAGGGGTGAGCCACCACACCCAGCCCCAGTTTGGGGACAATTTATGACACAGCCATAGCAAATAAAACACCCCGTACTCCCAGACTCTGAATTTCCCTTATCCTCATTGTATCTTTTAACCTAGAAGATGATTGACTCAGTTTTTGTTTTTATTGTTTATAATCTGTTTCCCCTCTAGAATGGAAATGATCTCATAAGTTATTTGCTGAATGAATGAAGATTAAAGGAACTCAGGATATTTACCCTGCAGAATAGATATCTGGAGAAAGAGGAAGGAAAAGAAACTTAAAATATACACACACACACATATATATATCCTTAAATAAATAAATTGACATGTAGAAGGAAGTATTTTTTAAGCAAGGATGTTACATACTTTCCTAAGCCATGTTTTGACTCTCAGAAGACCTTACAAGGAAGGTAATACTACCCGTACCTAACAAAGAAATTAGCCAGAAGGAGGTACGATCCAGGGGCCTTTGAGTATCTGACCTGAGTTTGAACCTGAGATACTAGGTAGATAATTTTAGGCAAGTTACTTAAATTGTGATAATAAAGCATTTAGTCCAGTGCCTGGCATACAGTTGCCACACAATAATGCCACCATCATTACACATATTACCACCAAGTCTCAGTTTCTGCATCGTAAGATAAAGCAAAAAGAGTATCTCCTTTTACAGAGATTTTATGAAAATTCAACAAGACAGGCAAAGGGTTATTTTAAAGCAGTTGTTCTTAACCTTCCTAATGCCACGAGTCTTTAATACAGGTCCCATGGGTCGTGATCCACAGCTTGAGAACCGCTGTTTTAAAGGAATATAATAAATAATTTTAGCTGAGTTGAGACTGAATATAGGTCGATCGCACCATGTTGCATCTGAATGGGGGATAGATTTCTATCACGCAGGCAGCTAAACACAGATAAAACACAAAGGCATATCTAGCTCTGTAGGTATAAGGGCATTTTTCTAAAAATTGCAGTGATGGGTCATTCCTAGTAACAAGTCAACTTCATGAAATAGTGCGATGTTTTGTGTCACTGAAATTGTCCCAGGAGTGGGGTAGAAAACCACCGCTAGGAAATATCAGGGAGAGGACCGCATACAATGGGGAAACCAGGCGAGTTCTAAAAACCCCTTCCAGTGCAGAGATTCTGCCATGAAACCGCGAATCAATATTCCATTTAGGGAAACCTCTATTGGCTCCTATGCAAAAAATCCAGTAATATAGAGGAAATTATTTTGAGAATACATTCAAAATTATTTTCTTCAAATTTGCATATAAAATATATCAGGAGAGTTTCAGAATATTGCAGTTAATATAAATCACATCTTTATAGCCGCAGATTCCATAATAGCATTTTATATTAATTTTGACATCATTATAACCAGCTGTTTGATCTCTTTCATATATTCCAATTTCTCGCAGGTCAGCAGCTCCAGCTCTTTTTTATAGAGCACTTCAATGACACACAGATAGGAGAAGGTTAAGATTCAGAAATCATTCATGTATAATTGTATTATTCGGGGACAGAAAGGAGAGGCAGTCATGAAAAAATTGAAAAAGGTAAAGACATTTTGGCCAGAAGTGCATTGTATGTCATTCATGCCTTTCAAGTTCTTTTTTTCATAGGGAAAAAAAGAAATACCAGACAAGTGGGTTGTTTTATATAAGATTTCAAATAGCAAAAATAATTAACCTAAAAAGCTAGTATAAGCAGTATTTACTTGTCTTGTTCTGATAGAGGATAGACTCCTGTATT